ATACTATCTGCTCAGAAGGGATTACAGTCCTAATGACATAAAGAATACTGTTAAAGCAAACCAGGAGTTTCTCGAGGCATGGCCATACAGCAGCGGTCCCCGAGCCACGGTCGTGAGTCGTTTGGTACCAGGCCGCGAGAGTTGAGGCTCGGGTGTAAAATTTATGCTTTTCAGGAGTTTTACCATTTTTTTAAGCGTTTTTATCGTTAACTCGGTTTCCCAGGGTCTTTTCCTGTGTGTTATGAATAATTCTTCTTACTTAGGTACCGGTACTGGTTTTATTTTGTTGTATTTAAAGGCCGGTCCGTGAAAATATTGTCGGACATAAACCGTTCCGGTTGGGGACCGCTGCCATACGGCATACTTTCCATCACTGAAGACAAAACTGAGTTCAGGAAGAGTCACAAACAATCAACACCTGAAGGCAGTAAAGGCCTGGCAGAGTATCTTAAGGGAAGGAAATACAGCATTGGCTCATGTCCATGGGTTCTTGGCTTTGACCTTGTGTCCACAGTTGTCGCCATACTCTTCACAGTCATAGTCAGGATGCTGTAAGAGATACTAAATGCAAAAAATCATCTTGCAGCTGAGGTAGTTCACACATTGTCACTGCTGTTCACTGGATGGCGTGGCATGTTGCTGCAGGATGCTGTGGTAGCCATGTTGGTTCAGTGTTCCTTCTATTTTCAATAAATCCCCAATAGTGTCAGAAGCAAAGCTCCCCCACACCATCACACCTCCTCCGTGCTTCACAGTGGGAAACAGGAAAGTCGAGACCATGCGTTCAACTTGTCAGAGTTGCACAAAGACACAGCGGGTGGAACTAAAGATCTCAAATTTGGACTCATTAGACCAAAGTACATTTCCACTGGTATCATGTCCACTCCGTGGGTTTCTTGGCCCAGACAAATCTCTTCTGCTTGTTGCTTTTCCTTAGTAGTGGTTTCTTTGCAGCTATTTGACCATTAAGGCTTGATTCATCAAGTCTCCTCTGAACAGTTGATGTAGAAATGCGTCTGCTGCTGGAACTCTGTGTGGCAGACAACTCTGTGTGGGCTCTAATCTGTTAACTTGCGATTTCTGAGGCTGGTGACTTGGATGAATTTTTTTTTTACCCTTTTAGACCTTCAGTTCTTAAAGTAATGATGGACTGTCATTTCTCTTTACTTAGCTGATTGGTTCTTGCCATAATAGGAATTCTAATAGTTGTCAAATAGGACTGTCTACTGTGTACCAACCTGACTTCTGCACAACACACCTGCTGGTCCCAACCCCATTAAGAAGGCAAAAAATTCCACAAATGAACCCTGAAAAGGCACACCTGTGAAGTGAAAACCATTTCAGATGACTACATCATGAATCTCATCGAGAGAAGGCCAAGGGTTTGCAGGGCCGTCAACAAAGTGTAGGGTGGCTATTTTTAGGAATCAAAAATATAATCTAAAATATAATTACTTGCTACGTAATTCCATATATCTTGCTTCATATATTTGATGTCTTCAGTTTGTATATACAATGTAGAAAGCAGTAAAAATAAAGAAAAACCACGAGAAGGTGTGTCCAAACTTTCGACTGGTAGTGCATAGACATCTTAGCTTTCAAGCCAGAATCTTGGCACATTTCCTTACAGCTTTTCCTAAGCCCAGGGCACAAGCGCCATGAATTATCATTGATGGAAGAAGAGGAAAAAAAGGAAAAAAACTAAAGCATTAAAAGCAATTGTAATGTTCTTTTGTCCCTTGGAACATCTTTGGGTGACAGCTTTTGCACGAATCAAGATGACCAAGTATATAGACACACAGATTAACAGACACAAATTTTCCTTCAGGAGATTATTTCATATCCGTGTTCTATATGACCACAAAATACATGCAGCATAGCAATTTTTAACTGCAAAATGCACAAGGATATTTTGATAGTATGGACAGCTACCCATGTCAAAAGAGATCAAAAGTCATTGCACTTATGTTCTGATTTGGTCATGAATACCTTTAAAGCATATGCAGTCTCATAGCGCACATAGTAAAGGCTAAGCTCTTGACAGACACAGCATTCATTTGTATTTCCACAGCAACTTCCACTTAAAGCTGCTAAGAGTAGAATGTGCCTCTAAACAGATAGCCCCTAAGGATTAGTCTTCATAATCTGCCGTTCACTGATCCTCGAAATCATACGGTCTGGGTGCTCTGAAATCAGCTTACAGTGATAGTAGATGGTGTGTGAGTGGTTTTATGATTGGGATTGTGTTCTATGTGGGCTTTTCATACAGTAACAGTGAATGAAAAAAAAAAAA